TATTGCGATCCCGTGAGCATGCGTGAGTCATGGATTATGGGAACCCAAAAGGCAATGCAACATCATCTGATACAGTATGCCATAGAGGCAGGAATAACTGGCAATCTTATTCCAAGGGGTCATTCTTAATTCTATAATCATGTACACCAAAACCCTAATTGTTAAGACTCCTAAATTGACCAAGGATCGGCGATAATAATGCTAGTTTTACAATACTATCTGATATGGTATAACCTCAATACAAAAACTAGTAAGACCATATTATTTGATATAGTAGAACCAAGGATCGTGGGTGGTGTAGGTTGGAGTGGACCATGTGGAATCTCAGCTCAGTAGGCGAGCCGGTGATCTTTGTGAAGGGAGCACGGCACTTGGAGGTGACTGAGCTCTTGTTAAGGAGCTGAATGTAAGCTACCATAGTAAGTATCTGTAGTATACCATACCATAATAATAGGGATCTGTAGTAAATAGCAGGATTTCATGACTTGGAGGTGAGCAAAATCCCGCAGCTGTATTCCGTGGGGGAAGCGGCTTTCAGTCTGGAGGAAGATCGTCACAAAGTGTCGAAGGTCCTCCAAGTTGAGTTCAAGAAGAGCTTGGTAAAGTGCCTTGAGAGAGGGGAGCTGGCAAAGTATCGCTTCCTCCTGGGTTGGCAGAAATTGGGCTCTGGACTATCATGCTCTGTTGCTTTGTTGACTTCTTCCTTAAGAAAACCGTTATCTCCTAAACCCTGATCCCTAATCCTGCCCTAAGCCCCAAGCCCTGAACAGAAACATTCTTCCCAGTTGCTTCAAAGCCCAGGAAGCTGTGCCTCAGAGGGCTTCCAGCTGTGCCCACGGAGTCAGCAGAGGTGTGAGTTTCAGAACAACAGAGGTAATATAGGGGCCGTATTGAACAGAATAGGGGTTTGGAGCATTTTGCTCCTATATTTAATAATTAGGAACCCCCAAAATAGTACAGGTAATTATTTAGGCCCCTACATTACCCAAAACCCAAAGCCCAAAGCCCTAAACCCTCCGATAAACCCGAAAACCCTAAGCCCTAAACCCTAAATCGTGGGATAACCTTCCATGATTTGCATTACTGTACCCTTATATTCTAGCATTTTTATAAGACAAGGTAGGGGTCGGATCAATTAGAAATATGGTCCCCTTATGGGTCCTGTAAGTAAGTAGGCCCTCAAAACCCTATTCTAGCCATCGAGGGCCCCATTGTAGAACCGGAAGAGTAGGATCCTTTTTGGATTGGAAGGGCCCTCCCCTAAACCCTAAACCGTAAACCCTAAACCCCCCAAGTTAAGGAACAAAAAAAAACTCCCAGGTGACCATCCCAGACTATGTGGCTCCAAGCGATAGCAGTGCGAAGACGATTCTGCTCCTGAGTTCTTGTTAAGGGATTTAGGGGTCAGGGTTTAGAGGTTTAGGGGTTCAGGGTTTAGGAATTTAAGTTACCATGCTAAGGAAACCACACCATACTATTTTCTATAGATCCCTAGTCTGGTGTATAAATTAGAGCCCTTAACAAGAGCCTAGGCTCTCTAGGTTCCTGCATCAAATCGGCTTCCGACATCCCTTGGAACGTCGTTTGGGGTGGTCCCCCCTGTGCTACGCAGCAATGCATGGGGACCCAGTGCTGGTGTCAGCGCTGCTGGAGCAACGCGCAAGCCCTAACGACCGGATCCACTGCAGCAGCCTGGACACCCTCTTGGCGAGCAAGGCTTCGGTGCTCGAGATTGCTGCTCGATGTCGCAACAATGAGGTCTTGAAGCTGCTTCTTTCAGAACGTGCTGATGTGATGGGCCGCGATTCCATAGGAGTCACCCCTAAACTGCAAGCCCTAAGCCCTAAACCCCTAAACCCCTAAACCCCTAAACCCTAAAGCCCAAACCCTAAACTCGCAGGAGTCACGCCGCTTCTCGCAGCTGCTTATTCAAAGGATGCCACTGCTGTACGATTACTGTGCCAAGCGAGAGCCGACCCGAATCTGGGCTTTTCGGTAGTTACCATAATAAGGAAACCATAAGGTCATACCCCAAACCCTAAACCCTGTATAGATTGGTAACTTACATCAAGTTCCCTATCCAGAACACAGGAACGTGAAGAACAACTTTACGGACACCGCCTGGCACACGGCCTGCGAGGCAGGCTCTCTGCAGGTGCTTATTGAAGCCATGGAACAAGTTTGAGCATTCATTTTCGTTTTTGGGAAGTTGAGCTGACATGAGCTGTTGGAATCGTCGCTTCCTTTTAAAGAGGTTCCTCGCCGGGTCATCTCGTGTAACCTCTGTCGAAGCATGTCGCAGTGATTGCACCTTCTGCCGCGCATGCAGAGGGAGGCAGCACTTCGTGACATCGTCTTGTCGTCGGTACCTCTTTGCAGAGTTTAGATGCCGCCCTCGTCCATGCGCGAAAGGGGTCACTGCCAAAAGCAACATGTCACCACGATACGCAGCACTTCCATTTGTAGGTGCAGGGACACACGGCATCCACAACCTATCGTGTGCAACAAAGCTACGTTTTGGGATGGGATATTCAGCTGATCAGATTGACATACCTGCAGACAAGGATCGGCTCTCTGCGGTACCCAGCCTGGCGGTTAAGCCCCTCGTGGCACCAGAGTTACTGTTTTCCCAGCAGGCATGCATAGCAGCGTTACAAGCTTTTCTCCAGCATGCAGCACATGCAGTACAGCCATGACATGAGGCAGTCACCCGTCGATCAAATTGTGTGTGCGCGCTCCCAGATTATGGCAGCAGGTCGTTTCGGACGAGGATTCAATTTGCCCACATGCCACCTACAACCTTTGCCGACAAGGCAATTGGATGTACAACAACGATCAGCATTCAGCCTTCGTTTTTTCGTTTCCATGCGTGAACGGATCAGGCAATGCCCCAAACTCATGTGGTAGTCGCAAGCATCTTTACGGCCACCCTTCTGCTCTTCGAGGGAAGTTGGCAGGTTTCGAAACTTGTGATGTCGACCCACTTTCGCATAATGTAGGGGCCTTGGGGGATCCTTGTTACAACTATATTATTAATATCATTATATACCCCTAATTATCAAGGCCCCCATTTTAGCAAAGGAGTTGCGTGCCCAATCGGACGGCCAAACCCCTCTGAATCTCGAGCGCTGCCTTCACACGTTGTCTCTCGGACCGGGCACGGCGGAGGCTGTTCACTGGCTGGTTGCAGCTGGGTTGCACTCGCCGGCCCTAAACCCTGAACGCTAAACCCCTGAACCCCTAAATTCCCAAACCCCTAAACCCTAAATTCCTAAACCCAAAGACCCTAAATTCCCAAACCCCTAAAAAACCTTAAATTCCTAAACCCAAAAACTTTAAATTCCCAAACCCACAAAAACCCTAGACCCCTAAACCCCTAAAAAACCCTAAATTTCCAAACCCCCAAAAACCACTAAATTCCCAACCCCCCCAAAAAAAACACTTAAACTCCTAAACCCCTAAAAAACCCTAAATTCCCAAACCCACCAAAAACCCTAAGTTCCTAAAACCCCGAAGCCTGTGGCATCGTTGTGGAAGACCAGGATGCTCGAGCTGATGTGAACGAGCGCATGAAGCCCGAAACTGGGCTCTTCTTACGGGGATTTAATGCGAAGTTACTATACTTGGGATCTATGGTAAATAATAGGGAGCTATGGTAAATAATAGGGATCTATGGTAAAGAATAGGGAGTTATGGTAAATGATATGGTTTCCTTCTCGCAGCAACTTGAGCTAAATCCCTTACCAAGAACCCAGGAAACCTTCTTCATCTCCTTTGTCTTCGCTGCCAAGAGCATGGAGTACAGATTCAGAGGCTCGAGGTCACAAATCTGCTCAATTGCATATCACCACTGCGGCGCCACGCCGCTGATGTTTGCCACTAGGTTTTCTAGTGGACCCTTTTCCCCTTTTTGCAGTCGTAGGTTCCTTACAAAACTATCTTGTGCCGATCCCATTGAGGGACCCTCAAACCTAAACCCTAAACCTGGAAGGGGCTGAGAGGCCGATGTGGTGTTCCTTCTCGCGGTGGAAGAGAGAGGAAGAGCTGCGTTGGCTGCGGTCGTCAAGAAGTGTGTGATGAAAGACCAAATCAGTGGAATGGGCGAGGCTCCGACAGAAATCAGGCGAGCAGTCGCAGTTACCACAAAGGGTGGAAAAGGGTGGCTCGATGAGGGCACGCTTGCGAGATGGTGTGAGGTTGAAGTGGAGGCAGTAAGGGACATAGTCTCAGCACATCGCTTCTGACTCGAGGACTCGGGGTCTCACCCTGAATTTTGCTGAAGATACGCTGTCAAGCATCCGCCCCAGCCGAGAGGCCCTGGATCCAGGCTGTGCTACAGACAGCAGAGTCGATGGGTACAGGGTTTTTGGCTGGAACATTGGTGAATCGGACCCCCATCTGTTGTCAAAGGCACTGAAGGATGGGTCAGGCAGTGCGGTCGCGCAAAATGACCTCGTTCTTCTGCAAGAATTGCCACTCGAGAGAGAGGGTTGGTCCTACCAGACGATGCAAGGGAGAAGATTGGTGGCGCACGGAGAGACGTCGCAGTGGAGAGGGACGGGGATTTGGTATGACGAGAGCTCCTGGTGCATGATACGTAGGTGGCTACGTCAAAGGGTACATGGTTCAAGTTGAGACACCTTACACACGACTTGGAGCTTTGGATGGGTGTTGCAGAAGGTTGACTATCTGGACCAAGATACCCTGCGGGACATGGCGACTAAGCACACGAAACCTAAACCGGGGGTTGCTTACAAGGACACTGATGCAGTAAAGGCGGCTTTTAGGGAAGCCAAGCGTCGGGGGACGGCAGCACTCTGGAAGCAGGCACTGAAGATGCGCAAGGAAGCCAGGAAGCTATGGGAGCAGGAGCGTCTCCGCAAGGCCAGTCAAGGGGACTGGGGGGCCCTTCAAAGCCCTGAAGAAGCCGAAGATAGTGGGCTGGGATGTTGCCTTTGCCGACCACCAAGGTGGAGGACCCCCACAACGTGGTTTGCAAGCACCTATCACATCTCTACGAAGGCACCCCATTGCCGGTCGAGCCGCCGTGGGCTGGGGAAGTGAGGGCTTTTACCCTGCACCAACTTCGAGTGGGCCTGGGGCAGCTCAAGCGGGGCAAGTCGGTTGGGGTGGATGGTACGTCGGCTGAACTGCTGCTAGGGGTGGCTCAGGTTCCAGGAGGTTAAACACACCTCCTCGAATTCTACAACCGCACTCTTGCCACACAACACATTCCCACAAATCGCCCCCACCACCCATGCTCAGTGTGCAGGCCAGCACCGCCAAACAGCTGGGCTTTCCGGACCCTGGAATTGGCCCGTGAATGGGGCCACCCGCTAGCGATGTTCAAACTAGACCTGGAAAAGGCGTTTGATCGACTCGACAGGGCTGCCCTCATTGGTCAGCTGGAGAAGCGTATCGGGCAAGGGGCCGAGCTCCAATGCTGGAAGGCTCTCCTGCGCACCACTAGTGGATGGTTGCAGACTCCTTGGGGGGGAAGCAGGGTTGAGATGAATCGAGTGATCAAGCAAGGATCCATCGAATCACCGAGCTTTTTCAGCCACGTCACAGAGATGGTGCTAGCCATGGCAGTGGAAACACCGGAATGGCGCGCCCACCCCCGGGTTCTGGAAGGGATGGAGGCTGAGGAGATGCTCTTTGTTGACGATGGATTGTTGTGGAGTAGAGGGTGCCGTGCTATCCAACAAAGGGTTGAGGGGTTGGTGGGGCGGCTGGCGCACTTTGGCCTTCGACTGAACCCCGGGGAATGCCAGCTGTGTGTCACACCGACGGTTGAGGATGGGGATCATGTCGTTGTCTCGGGAGTGATTGTCAAGGCGTCCGAGTCCATCGAGATAATGGGGAACAACATGTATGTTGGGATTCCCCCTTGGCATCGAGGGCGAGAGCCAAATTCTGGGATCTCAAACATGTGTTCCGATGCAAGTCCAACATGAAGGAACGCTCGAGGGTTATGCAGAGGGTCGTGGGAGCGACTGCTTTGTGGTGTCTGTGCAGTTTTCCCCCAGATGCTGCTGCCATGTCCATGTTGAACTCCACGCAATTGCAATTGATGGTGTGGCTCCTCGATCTTGCAAAGAGGGAATCGGGAAGCTGGGAAGCCTACAGACAGAGGGCATTCCGTGGGGCTAGGAGCGCGTTGCGTAGTGCGGGGGTGGAACGTTGGTCAACCTTGTGGCTGAGAAGGTGGTGGTCTTATGCAGGTCATAGGGTCAGGGGAATGTTGGCTGACCACCCGGTAGTGAGCTCCCTCTGTGAGGACTTCAGAACAGGAGGAAAAGCACCGCAAGGATGGGTACAAGCGCTGCCAGCACTACCCCCGCCTCTCCCTGCTGGAGAAGCACATGAGTGAAGTGGCACAGGGACCATGGAGAGAGAAAGCGCACAACCGAACAGCCTGGAAGCAGATGGAGGAGCAGTGGGTCCGAAAGATGGACCTCCCCTGGGCGTCGGGGCGCCAGTTATCCTGCAGGCGCTGAGGACATGTGCGATGAGGTCACGCGTCGTATGGGGGTCCCGCCTCAGGACGAGCTTGAGGAGTACTGTGCTTTGGCGGTTAGGAGAATCCGGGACCACTGGCACTGGCGAAGGTGCCCCGAGACGATGCACAACCGTGTTTGGGAGAGAAAGCTTGAGCAATTCGGGCCCATGCCCACCTCACTCCAGCCGTTGGCAGGTTGCCCATGTGCTCCGGCCCTTGCCTTGCGGTCTTGCCTCTGCCGCTCCCGCTCTCTACAGGAACAGGGCTGCGGCCCGACGCAGCCTGCTCTACCAGGTCAGCCGTGCTCACGGGCCCAGGGGCTTCTCCTTTGCCGAGCAGGTGCTGCAACCGGTGTGGTGCGGAGAGGCCTGGACTAGTGAAGGACGGCGTAATCGTGAACGCGGCGTGGAATCCTGGACGAGACGCCAAGTCCTTAAAGACCTGGCACAGATGTGGAAGCAAAACCAGCAAGAAGAAGGCCGGTCCGGTGGTGCAAGTGGATCGACCTCGGGGCCGTCTCAGCCGAGGCTCCCCCTCACGCCGTTCTTCCGGGACTTACCAGAAGCCCTGCCCTTTGGTATATTTCGCGTGGCTCACGTGTGGCCCAATGGCAGCTGGAGCACCAGGGAGGAGTTGATCCGTATGGGTCGGCGCGATCTCGTCTGCGAGGACAACTACGAGATGCCTCCCACAGCCGACAGGGGTTGACGACGGAGCAGCCGACAACACGGAGGAGGAGGCAGGGGCCGGGCATGGGGATGTGGTTCAAGGGAAGGTGGAGGTGAAGCTCACATGGAGGCAGCTCATGGAGCAAACCAATGAGTGGATTGCACAAGGAACCAGGATCATGCCGATCGTTCCCATGGTGCAGCAAATGGTTGGAAGAAGAGGTCATGTCAGGTATGAAGAGTGGGCAGCTGGGCCTTTGCACTCCATGAGGGCGAGCCTGGAAGTGGAAGAGCAAGAGCTCCGCAGTGGAGGACCGACCATCCATCCGGGAAGTGCGGCAGAGTGGGCGAGACAGGTGGAGGCCCTGCTGTGGGAGGCCTTTGCAAACGATCATTTGGGCCTTCGTGGAGGGACTGACGCAGAAGGGGAAGAAGTTGAGCTAATGGAAAGGGGCAGAGCGTCCGAGAACATGAGGAGGCGCAGAACCAGAACCCGTGATAGAGACAGAACGCCAAGAGGCGAGGCAGGGAGGCGGGAAAGGGTCGTAGTCACGGAATCGGTCCGTTACCTCGGGGATCCCAGGGACTACCACACAACCAGGCAAGCAAGAAACGAACGAGATGGTGATCGTCGACCGCGAGGGGAACCAAGTCGATCGTCGAGGCCGAGCTCGAGTACGGATCTACATGGAGGCCGCTCGGTTCTGGACGATGTGGCCAACAGACCGAGGACGGGGCCGGCCAGTCTGGCCCGGGGTCAGGCCTGTGACCTCTGGAGGTACATCGACAGTTAACGGCCTGGCCGGATGGAGTGCCGGTGATAGGGGGCGGAAATGCACTGCTTCCTTGGCAGACCCAGGACAGAATCAGGCAGTACATCACGGACATCGGAGCAAAACCGAGCCATCATGACGTCCGCCTTTATCGAGATTCTCCGCTACATCATGGTCGAGGTAGGCAACCTCATGCATATGGGTCACATGAGAGCGCTCAATGCGGGTGCCAGTGAGGTTGAGGTTACCTTGGACCCGGAGACCGAGGAGGAGGGCGACATCACTGGCCTCATGCAGAAGTTCGACGTGAGCGGGGGTCGCGACACAGTCCAAGACCGGTGGGCTCGGGCACTGGCCCGAATGCAGAAGGACTTGGCAGGTCAAGCCAAAGCCGTACGAGCATCCGGCGGTCGTTGCCGGCGTGCGAACCATGGAGTCTGCAGGAGGGCAGACGGGAGCAGTTGAGGGCCCTCTTGGGGGCTATGCTTGATGGGGCTGGAGCAGTCCAAGGACATGGAACGCCAGACCAGCCATGGCTGAGTGGATGGGCAAATGAGCTGGAATTCTTTCTGCCAGGGAATACCTTATTACTGGGAGTCCTGCCTATGCCGATTCCTGTTGCGGACAGCCCAGAAGCGAATCCAGCGCCGGGTTCTGAGATGCTGGGTGGCTCCCACCTGGCGGTGCCGCCAACGGAGATGGTGAGCGAAGAGGAAAGGGACAAAATGGACGAGGCAGTCCAGGACGAGAGCCGTGCCATGGCGAAGATGGAGGCGGACTTGATTCAGACGCAGGCTGCCGAGTACCAACGTTGGGAAAGAGACGAGATGGCCCGAGGGCTGCGTCGGCTGCAACCGGGGCCTCTGGTGAAGCGATGCAAGCTGACGGTGGAGGCGGCCTCTGGCAGTCCGGACCGGCCCAGGGTTAGCCGCACCATCCAGATGCTGGTCCCGGAAGATGGCGAGCCGCTACAGATACAAGTCACTGCGGTGATGACCCAAGTTTTCCAGGAACTCCCTCCGACCCAGAGCTCGACGCAAATGGGAGCGGCAGGGACTGTGCCAGACATGTTGCAATTCCTGGACTTCGCCAAGTATGACAAGGTGTACACTGCATGGAAGGCAGGTCGGGTGACGACGGACCAGGTGGCCAGGGAGTATGGGACGGTCGTTGCGGAGATGCTCGTCACGCATGACATCGTCGAACAGCAAGACATCGACACAATGACGGGAGAACAGCGGCAGGGGCGTGCTGAGTCCATGGGAGCGGAGTCGGGGTCAGGTCTTACGAATGCGTCCACCTTGCTGCTACCGGCTGCCGGGGAGGAGGTGGTTGCTGGGCCGTCAGTGGGAGTGGGGGCGGAGGAAGCCGAGTCGGAGATGGACTGTTCCACGGAAGAGCTGCTACGTGATGAAGCCCGGTATGCTGGTCCGCATGGAGAAGTCTGTCCGGAAGGGGAGGAGTGACCTGGTGATGGATGGATGGTCGAGGGTGTCGTCTGAGTATGCTAGTCTGGTGTACCTTCTGCGAAAGCAGATTCTGCCGACCTTAACTGCTAGGTGGAAGAAGGTGCTTAAAAAAAAACCCCTAAACCCCTAAACCCTAAACCCTAAACCCCTAAACCCCAAACCCTTAAACCCTCAATTTCCATTCCTCGGTCTGGGATCCTGGATAAAAATGAGGGTTCTTGAAGTTTAGTGCAAGAGGGATACTGTGAGGGGTATATATATATATATACAATATTCTAAACCCATAATATATACATATATATATATATAATATTCTAAACCCCTAAACCCTAAACCCTAATGTGATCCTAGGCCATCCTGGCTGGCAACTTCGAGGTCGCCGCGGCGCTGTCAGTCAGAGGAGCCGATTCGCGCATCAAGAACGTCAGGGGGAAGTCGGCCGAGGATCTCGCAGCCGAAACTGGGCTCGCGTTGAGGAGGGTTTAAGGTTTAGGGTTTAGGAGCTTACCATAGTAAGGAAGCCGTATTTTGAGTTTACTATAGATTCTTGGTATGGTAACTTCAAGTAAGCTCCAGAAACAGGAGCCCGAATGCCGAAGCCGTAATAGTAACCCTGAATGGGTTTCGGGTTTAGGGTTCAGGGTCCTAAACAAGAGCCCAGGAAATGTCCGCCCCAAGTTACCTCATGGAGCTTCTCGAGCGCTTTGATGTTTGCCGCTTTACCTCGGGCAGTCGCATCATCGGCGCAAAGCAGACATCCATTGAGTCCTTAGGATCCGAGGACTACTTCGAGATTTGAATGGTTTAGGGTTTCTTTTCGGTTCGGTTTATGATTTTTCGTTCGCCTGAGAGGTCAACCTTCGACCTTGAGGGACGAGCCAGGCTTAGGCGCTGCAGAACCCCTAAGGGGTTCATGAAAGTCATGGCATGTCGGGATTCTCTGCCGAAGAAGAGCCGTAGGACTTCAGCTTGTGCAGACCGCGACTTGCCGAAGCCTCTTTGCGACCTTTGCCTTAAATAGATCTCCAAAAGGCGATGTACATCCCGTTGTGACCGCTCTTCGATTGTATGCAGACAGGTACTTGGAGGTTCATGGGTAGTTATAAGTAGGGTCATAAGAGAAGGCACTATCAATTCCGTGTTGCCC